CTGGCCCCTGGCTGCACCTAGAAATTCTGTCCATAAAAGTAATGAACAGAACTGGTGACAAAGGGCAGCCCTGCCGGAGTCCAACATGCACTGGAAACAAGTCTGACTTACTGCCGGCGATGCAAACCAAGCTCCTGCTTCGGTTGTACAGGGACCGGACAGCCCTTAGCAAAGGGCCCCGGGCCCCAGACCCCGTACTCCCGGAGCAACCCCCACAGGGTGCCGTGAGGGACACGGTCGAATGCCTTCTCCAGGTCCACAAAACACATGTGGACTGGTTGGGCAAACTCCCATCAACCCTCCATCACCCTGAAGAGAGTATAGAGCTGGTCCAGTGTTCCACGGCCAGGATGAAAACCGCATTGTTCCTCCTGAATCCGAGGTTGAACTATCGGTCGAATTCTCCTCTCCAGTACCCTGGCATAGACTTTCCTGGGGAGGCTGAGGAGGTATAGGTTACCAACAAAAGCCATTAGATGCCCTGTATAATGCTGCTGTATTCATAACGATTCAGTGAGGAAACCGCTCACCTACAAAGGTAACACAGCACACTGACTAGTACGTCTTAAGTACGTCACTAGTTAACATGTCTGAGCAATGGAAATACTCCCTTGCCACTTAATTTCAGTAAGTTGATCTGACATCTTAAAAATATTTGTGACAAATTTTCTACCCTGCTGAGATTATAAATTTCTATTCTTTTCTCTTTTTTTTTGTGGATGCTTGCAGCAATGTAGACATGGCCATCCAGTAAACCCCCATGCTCCTTCCAATATGCCCCATGAGCAGTAATAATATGATATTTTACTTTTGTTAGAAACTTAAAATAGTCATGGTGTTTAGGCTTGACCTCAAACCAGCCATGTAAAACTTTGGCTGGAGTAATAATCCAGACATTGTAAAATAACGTTATCCTATGACCGGTAGTTTGACCTCTGGAAATCCTGTACAATGCAACTTCAGCATTAGCTCCCCCTCTTTAATGAGTATAGTCAGAGGCCTGTAATGACTTTGCATAATGAGTTACATTCTCTTTTTTCATTGAGCCAGCTTTTTAAAAGATCTCTGTATTGTACAGGGGCGAGTGCTAGTTCCTTTTATCTCTAAGAAAAAAACCCTCATGGCTACAGTTTGATCAATTAAACTCCTGAAAGCCCCCACCCCACCCCTTCATTCCTCTGCCTGAGAGGAATATAAAGTTATCAGTCTTCCCAAGCGATATGAGGACGGAAATAAGTAGTTTGTCTATAAAAATGTCCAGGTACTTTATCAGCGTCCCAGTAGGCCCTGAGGCCCTGACACTGTTCACTGTGGCTCTCCTGTACTCCAGTTTCATGTGCTCTCTCTCTCTCTCTCCCCCTCCCTCTCTTGCTGTCTACTTTGTCTCTGCCTGTGGCCCGCTCCTCTTCGGGTGGGGCGTCTGCTGCTGGCCCTGCACCTCGGTGGGATTGACTGGGGCTTGAGCCCCAAGTGAGGTTATCGATTTCAATCAGTGGCTTGGGAGATTGGAGCTGAATGATGCTGTGGACTAGGTTAGCTGCATTGTCTGTGGTTTGGGGGGAAAATGCTGCAGGAGGAGGCACTTTGCTTTTGATGAGAAGTCAGATAAACAGAAACAGCATTATATATTTAGAGAGAGATCTTAATCTTCTAGTTAAACTGTCTGTTACTGGTTGCATTGAAATGGACTAAACAGATCCAAAAAATACAAAGATTGCACGTAACAGACGTTATGTACAAACAAAAATTAGATCTGCAACAGGCTTTCATTTAATAAACTGTTTGCTTCATAAAATATCAGAAAACTTTTTTTTGCTTAAAATGACTAAAAAGAATAATTAACTATTAAAATGTGTGCTGATTGTTTTTGTGTTGATCTATTGATGAATCAGTTAACCAGTTAATACATGCAACCTTTTAGCAATATGTACAACACATTACATCACTTCATATAACTGCTTTTCTAAATTACATTGAGAATAAGCAAATGTATATGGATTGAATTCATGGTTCAACAGTAATTTTTATCTGCACAATCCAGGAAAAGGAGTGGGAGTATAAGCATTTAATATGCTTCAATACCACATTGTTCCCATTGTGCACTGGGTGTTTTTGGTCTGGAGTAGATACTGAGAAGAGTGAGGTGACAACTTTTTTGTTCCATCATCGTTCACAGGAAAGCGCAGGCATAAAGACAGACCGATAAAGTTCCCGTTTTGCTTAAAGAGGGAAGTTAGTTCACACAGTGAGAGCACTGCTGCTTCTCTGCTCTCAGAAGCATTTGCATCAAGGCCAGGAGATTAAACGTGTGGGTTGGGAACTGGAGAGAGTGTGTTGTCTCGCTTAGGGCCCCCGATGCCAGAGATCTAGCTTTCATCGCACTGGGTGAAAGATTTCTCCTGGACGTTTCACTCTCTGTGGCTACAGGTGGGTGGTTTACTTACTGTAGGTGGCAGCCACTGTGGATTTCAAGTAACAATACAGAGGAGGTGGCTGTGGGCGCATAGTTTCACAATTGCCAGCATTCAGTACTCTGCGCTGACATCAGTCCTGCACTCTATAGTCATTTCTGTAGCTAGATGGCATTTTTGAGATACTAAATACTGTTGCAGTTTACTAAAAGAAAGTGACATCTGCATGCTGAGCTGAAATGATTTGTCTATTGACTAGTTGATCAATAGAAAATGTATTACTTGAGGCTTCTTTCAAGCAAAAGGGGCCTACAGCTTCACAAATGTTAGGATCTGTCATGTTTGATGGTAAACTGAATATCTTTAGGTTTTGGACTGTTGGTTGGCTAATACAAGCAATTTGAATGTCACAGCAGACTATTTTTCACAGTTTTGTCAACATTTCTCACATTTGTTAATATTTTGTGATGTTTGTTGGACAAAATAGTTGATTGTTTGGCACAGTAATCAGCAGATTAATCCATAATGAAAAATCCTTGTTAGTTACATCCTTACCGACAAGTTGTGCTTCACTACGTGATGCTTATTCACATCGGTTTGATCGAATGCTTTCATTAGGGTGTGAGATCATTATACATGCAGTGATGTGGTCTATGACTGACCTAGTGTCCTAAAACACAGATGATTTTATACATCTGTAAAACATTTAGCCTTTTTAATCATTTGAAAAACCAACAAGTCATTGTGAATCTTTTTTTAAAGGCTCCATGTTCAGTGCAGTTGTGCTGGTGCTTGGCTGCCTGCTGCAAAGGAAGCTAGTGACCACCGAGGGGCATCGTGGGACCAACCACCATGTTTTTTATGCAGTGCATATGGAAGGAGGTATCAGAGCTGCCAGAGCTCTGGCCGAGCAGCACGGGCTGGAGTTCATACAGAGGGTCAGTGGATCTTTAAAACCCCTGTTATTACTTACACCTATTGGCCTGCAAGTTACATGTTCTAAATCCAGTTATTGAGTGCTCTTGCTTTTCTTATTGAGAGCTGCCAAAGAGCTGGCTTTCATTTTCCTATTTAAGTGATACCTGACTTTTATTAAATTACAGCAAAATTACTGAACATTTCATGTCAATGACACATAGAGTAGGCTTTCCACACGCATTTGAAAAGAGACACCCCAAAATACACACACGTATATGGATACTTGTGTCTAAACTTTATTTTATGCCTGTGAGAAACCTCTCTGTGTGGAATAGACTCCAGGTGAATGTCTTTGGACATGACTCCTTACCCGTTTGCCTCAGTTTTAATCTGTCATGCTGAGATCTTTTCCATTTGTCAGAAGACTAGTTGTGATTTATCCATATCAATACTCTAAAGGTTACTTTGGTTGTTGAGTCTGAATGTGTGTCAGCTCCGTGAAAAAATGTTCTCTGCTGCACTGACAAAAAGAACTCGAAGTGGGTTTTGGTAAGGTAGTTCTGCTTTTTTCTAAGAGGGAGTTCAGGGGCATAAGAGATTTTGAAGCAAACTTCATCTGGTTGTCTTTTATGAAAGATTCACAGTGAGAGCGATTTAAAAGGTAAGAGCCCTTGTGAATTCCAGGCCTTCTGTTCTCTGTTAAATTCAGGATTTTAAAAAATATCATTTTATTGTACTTCTTTTCAAATGTAAAGACTGACTAATCCACACAGATTATTTAGATTAAATGTAGTATTTGATTAAAGAACATAACGTAAGCAATCCACATGAAGATTTCTGATGAGAAAGCACCCAGATACAGAGAGTGCCTGACCTTAAATGCAGTGAAGTTCCAGAAAATACTTTAAACTGCATATGGACAGTAGCATTTCAAAGAATTAAAGCAAATGGCAGAATTGTTGAATTTTAACATTGAGAATTAAATATTATGCTTTTTGTTTTCATAGTTCTGTGTATACACTAAATAGTTAGCACAATACCTTGTAATTATACCTTTGTATATACAGTGCCTATAAAAAGTATTCACCCCCTTGGATGTTTTACCCTTTTATTGATTTTATAAATCAATCTAGCTGTCCCTGGTAGGCTAGTGGTTAAGGCGCAGCACTGTCGCCGCTGCGGCCTAGGTTGAAATCAAGGTTGTGTCAGGAAGGGCATCCGGCATAAAACACATGCCAAATGTCAACATGCGAGTTGCCTGTGTGACGATTCGCTGTGGCGACCCCTAAATGGGAAAAGCCGAAAGTGACTTTCTTATTGATTTTATAAATCAATCAATCATGGTCAATATAATTTGACTTTTTTTAACAAAAAAAATTACAAAAAACCTCTTTAATGTCAAAGTGAAAGCAGGTTTCTACATAGTAATGTCAATTAAATAAAAATATGTAATGGGAAATAATTGCTTGCATAAATATTCACCCCCTTCAAGTCAATATGTACCAGATGCAACTTCGGCTGCAGTCACAGCACTGAGTCTGTGTGGATAGGTCTCAATCAGACTTGCACATCTGGACACTGCAATTTTACTCTGCCAGGTTGCGTGGGGATCGGGCATGAACAACCCTTTTCAAGTCCAACCACAAACTCTCTGTTGACTTGGCCACAAAGCACCATTTTGGTCTCATCAGACCAAAGAGCTTCTGCTTGCATAAATATTCACCCCCTTCAAGTCAATATGTACCAGATGCAACTTCGGCTGCAGTCACAGCACTGAGTCTGTGTGGATAGGTCTCAATCCGAAAAGTGAAAACAAGTTTCAGACTAAAGAACTTTCTTCCACTTGACCATGGAGCCTCCCATACGAGTTGTCTTCAGTAGTGGCTTTCTCTTTTCCACTCTCCCATGAAGCTTTGACTGGTGAAGAACCCAGGCAACTGTTGTTGTATGCAGAGTCTCTCCTATCTCAGCTGCTGAAGCTCATAACTCCTTCAGAGTAGTCATAGGTGTCTTGGTGGCCTCGCTCACTAGTCTCCTTCTTGCACGGTCACTCAGTTTGTGAGTTCGACCTGATCTAGGCAGATTTAGACATTTGCCATATTCCTTCTATTTCTTCACGATGGATTTAACTGAACTCTGGGGGATGCTCAGTGCCTTGGAAATTTCTTTGTATCCATCCCGACTTATACTTTTCAATAACCTTTTCTCTGAGATGCTTGGAGTGTTCTTTTGTCTTCATGGTGTAACGGTAGCTAGGAATACTGATTAACCAGTGACTGGACCTTCCAGACACAGGTGTCTTTATACTACAGTCACTTGAGACACATTCACTGCACTCAGGTGATCCCTGTTTCTCTAATTGTGAGACTACTAGGGCCAATTGGCTGGACCTCTGTTGAATTAGGTCAGTTATTTTAAAGGGGGGAATATTTATGCAAACACTTATTTCTCATTATATATTTTTATTTAATTGACATTACTTTGTAGAAACCTGTTTTCACTTTGACATTAAAGAGGATTTTTTTTGTCATTTATATTTGATTGATTTATAAAATCAATAAAAGGGTAAAACATCCAAGGGGGTGAATACTTTTTATAGGCACTGTATCTATCAAACTCCATCTAAACTATGTGTATGTACACATATTTTATAAGTACTTTATTTTTATTTTTTATTTTCCTAATGCACATTTCTTTTTCTTGTTTGCACATTTTTTCTTTTTTCTTTTCTTGTTCTCTCAGTCTTATCTCATTGCCTTATAGAGGAACATTGTACATGCACACTAAGAGCCACTGTACCAGAGTCAAATTCCTCGTGTGCTCAACAATAAAGCTGATTCTGATTCTTATTCTATTCCAAATGGTTACAGGAAGAGCCTTGCAGGAGAGAAATCTGAGAAAATACAATATATCGCACCTAGAGTCTCCACGTCCCCATACAAGGTTTTAGTTGCAGTTTGTTCATTTAAAGTCTAGTCCTCCGCGCGCCGTGATATCTCAATGGTTAGGGTGTGGTGCACTACATACATGGGTACAAGGTGTGCACAACATCGACAGTTCCTGTCTGACTGCTGACCTATGTCCCATGTCCTCCCCAATTTCCTCTCTGTTGCCCATGCCATTCTCTAATAATAAAGGCTAAATGCCCTAAAAAAAACATAAAAAGTACAGCCTACTTTGCTGGCAGATTTACATCCCCATCTTGACTTTGCTCACAGACAATCAAAAAACTGGTATTTAAAGTTACCTATGAGTGATACCGGAGGAGAGTGAGTGTACGTGTTTTGATATTATTGATACGATTTAGCAGGAGTGTCCACTGGCCTGGTGTGAGGCTGTGTGCCATTTTGGCTCTGGGGAATGGGGATGCAAGCTCATTTCAACCTTGGCCCTGCTGTCTCTGCTGCGGCTGCTGCCTGGATCATGAATAAAACATCTCTTTGACCTTTATCAAGAGTGTGTTGGACAGTCCACCCCCATTTCTGTCTTCCTCTCCACCTGACTTTCGCTCATTGTCCCTCATGTGCGAATGCAAACACCTCTGCCTCTTCCTACATTGTTTTTTGCTGTTTTATACGCCACTGATTGTCCTTTGATGCGGTGTCGTAATGACTGAAATAAGAGCAAATACTGTACATTTTCACACTGCAACAATCCTGCAGCATGTTAGAAGCCTGATATGATGCTGTGGTGTTATTTTTGTAGCAGTCGATTGTGAAACTTATGCAGTGTGTTTTTGTGTTAATAAGTTGCCCAACTCAGCAACACCACATCCTGAGAAGAGCCTCAGACAACCCCCACCTCAGTTTCAATCTGCTGACTGGCTCCTTTTACCTGTCTGTCGCCAGAGGCTGATGCTAAATGTCACTGACACTAAATCGCATTTGTTAAGTCAAACCTACTTTAATTATGTCACTTGTGATTTGCGCCTTGCGTGTGGCAAATATTGTATATCAAGAAAAAGCTGGCACTTGACAATTTGCTGCGATAAATTATTATTATTATTATTTTTGAAAACATTGAAGTAGAATGAAAAGTCTGACAAGACCAACATCAGCTTGGGAAGACATGATGTCTGATTCCAGTGGTAACGGAATGCCAGCAGACATCATGAGAATCAAATGTCTCTCTGCTTGCACTCAACATATTGCTGGTCTCTTTGATTTACTGTACACCATCCAGGAAAATGTCATCACATCTCTGCATTGTGCAGATTTGACATATCCATTTTGCAACTGTAAAATACAAAGAAAAACAAAGCAGACTACCTGACAGCAGACAAAGCTGATGTCTTTATGCCACATGGGCAGATTTACTGGGATGCATTACGATTACATTTTGCAAGTGTCTCTTTGGTAGTAGACGCGCTGAAGCATTTCACATCAGTCTTTATGATTTTGAAATGTGTCAAAGAGAGACCTGATCTGTCCATATTTATCTTTCACTCGTCTTACCCTTTGCTCATTGAGAAATGTTTAAAATTTGCTTATAGTTTGTCAGCCGTTCTTTAAATTAGAGGGTAAATCAGCTCATTCAGAATAGAATGAGGTGAAGTGAAATGGAGCAGTGAAGAAACACCCCCAACAAATGCACCAAAGCTCCTGGCTGTAATTATTATGGTGTATGACTGATATGGATTCAAAGATTACTGTTGTATAATGGTGGGTCTCATCTCCAGCCAAGGCTGTGGTGGTGTAATGCAATCATTACATGCCAGACAGAAAGATTTGCTCTGGCTACACAGGTAATGGCAGCCATTACAGGTGCAGGGTTTCACGCACGGCAACAAAGGAAAAACATAACCTGATCGCGATCTAAAACAGATGATGTTCTCTTTCACTTTATACCACTGCAGAACAACAGAGCAGTGATTTGATTATTACACACTGATTAAAAATAAAGTCTCAGCTTGCAGGCATATACAGCAGCCTGGTTTTAAGCTGCATCACATGCTGAAACATTTTTACATGTATTATTTTTTGCTTACTTAAGAGTCTGCAAATCCGCTTAGAGAAAGATT